AAGTAACATATTATTTTCATGCACTGAGGATATTCAAAGAATAATCAAAACCTGTAGGTTTATTTAGGGACATTAACTACTTGCAACCTCAATTTGGTCAGGTTTGTTCTGAATAAATCATCTAAAAATTGCATCCTCAATTAACCAAAATAGAAAACGAATGCTGTAAGTTATATAAAAAAAATTCCCTTCTCACCCACCGCGGGTGGTTCTTATCCTCTGAGCTCGGGTCCTCTACCAGAGGCCTGGGAGCTTGAGGGTTCTGCGCAGTATCTTGGCTGTGCCAAGGACTGCACATTTCTGGACTGAGATGTCTGATGTTGTTCCTGGGATCTGTTGTAGCCACTGCTCCAGTTTGGGGGTTACTGCCCCGAGGGCCCCGATGACCACAGGCACCACTGTGGTCTTCACCTTCCAGGCCCTCTCCAGTTCTTCCCTGAGGCCCTGGTATTTCTCCAGTTTCTCGTGCTCCTTTTTCCTGATGTTGCAATGACTTGGTATTGCTACATCTACCACAACGGCTTTCCTCTGTTGTTTATCCACTACGACAATGTCTGGTTGGTTCGCCATTACCATTTTGTCTGTCTGGATCTGGAAGTCCCACAGGATCTTAGCTCTGGCGTTCTCCACCACCTTTGGGGGTGTTTCCCACTTTGATCTCGGGGTTTCCAGTCCATATTCTGGATGGGCGAGATATATATATATATCTATATCTATCTATCTATCTATCTATCTATCTATCTATCTATCTATCTATCTATCTATCTATCTATCTATCTATCTATCTATCTATCTATCTATCTATCTATCTATCTATCTATCTATCTATCTATCTATCTATCTATATATATATATATATATATATATATATATATATATATATTATTTATATATATATATATATATATATATATATATATATATATATATATATATATATATATATATATATATAATATATATATATATATATATATATTATATATATATACACTTATATATTATAAATATATATTATAAACTTTAACCCCTAAATGGAGTAGCTTTCAACCAATAAGCAATTTCCCCTGGGGATCAATAAATTCTATTCTATTCTATTCTGTCTGTCATTATGTCAGACTAAAGTTGTCCAGCTATAGGTCACTTAGGATATTTAAAGTTATTTCAAGCTGCTAAATGCCAGAATATTGGCAAAATGTTTTTTGAACAACTTTTAAAACTTTCTTTGAAGTCAGAAATTTACATAATGTCTCGTTTGTATTTGTATATCTTATTATCTGTTCCTACTGGCCAGAGCTATATGCCTTTCAGGCAGACTTCAGGTTTGATCTATTGGACTTTGTGTTCCAAACAAAATTGTAGAGGTGTCTTCATCGCCACTGGACATAAAATAGACTCAGGAGTTTTTTAATGACAAACTAATTGTTTTTATTTGTTTCAGTGCTACAAAGCTTGTTGCGTGAAGATAGAAGCCCCTTGTGCCTCATGATCGAAATGCATTGAATCAGCACAAGACATGTTCTGCTTGACAATACAACAATGGTTGTCGTCGCATGTGGGGGGCTACAGAGCTACAACACTGAAGAAATATGCTTGTACATTGAAAATGTATGTCTCAGCCTTGTTGTCTGCTTGTTCAATACAGAGTCGTCCTAAAACATTCTGTCCCTGAATAAAAAGTCTGTGAGGTTGTTTTTCTTTTTTTCATTATTATCTTTTTTGCTGCTCTGCACAGTTTTCTCTTGCTTCTGCGTTTAATTTTATAGAAGAAAAGTCACATTTTTGCGCTTATGGTCTGTGGAATTTGCACTTTATGATCTTCTTGAATGCACTTTGAAAGTCTTTGTTAAAATAGGCGTATATAATGGGGTTAAGGAGGGAGTTCGAGTAGCCCAGCCAGTTAATAACGGCACCCAGCCAGTCGGGCATGTAGCAGCTCTCCGCGCAGAAAGGCAGAACCAGCGCCACAATGAAAAACGGCAGCCAGCACACAATGAATGTTCCCATGATGATCCCCAGCGTCTTCACGGTTTTGCGTTCCCGGGAGAGCGCGAGCTTTCTCTTTGCTCCCGAGTTCCTCTCGTTCATGTTCTCATAACCATGAGAGGATGACTGAGGGGTGTTAGGCAGAGGCAGGTGCGTCTTGGAGTTGCTGATAACTTCTATAATCTCCAGCGACTCGCCCTCCTCTCCGTGCTTCACAGCGCCGTTTACGCACGGAGAGCTGGATTTGGACTCGTCGCAGCGCCTCCAGCCTTTTCCACGAGTCTCCCCATTGCTTTTCTTGTGGAAAATTGCCGGAGACACGGCCAAACACTTGTCCGAAACTTTCGCCTTCTCTGTCTTCTTAACCGTTTTTCGAATCCGAAACCGAGCGGCCCTGAATATTCTGCCGTACAAGACTAGCATGAGGATGAGGGGGATGTAAAAAGCCCCGAAAGTGGAGTAGATGGTGTAGCCTGGATCCTGGCTGATCATGCATGCGTCTGGGTTCGCCCTGTCCTCGGCGCTCCTCCATCCTAACATGGGTGGGATGGAAATGGAGAATCCGATCAGCCAAGTTGCGGAAATCAGGAGCGCTGCTCGCTTTGGTGTTCGTTTATTTACATAATCAATGGGGTCTGTTATGGCCCAATACCTGTCCAAGGCGATTGCGCACAGATGCAGGATGGAGGATGTGCAGCACAACACATCCAGGGAGATGAATAAGTCACAGATCTCCTGCCCCAAAGTCCACTTATTTAGAACCTGGTATAGGGCTGCCATTGGTAAAACCAACACCGACACCATCAGGTCTGTAACGGCCAAAGATCCAATCAGATAGTTTGCCACATTTTGGAGAGATCTCTCCAGGGCGATGGCTGCCACAACGCACGCGTTGCCAAATATGGAGCAGAGGATGAGGGCCCCCAGGAGCAGAGAGGTGATTATCTGGTAAGCAAGCACCAGGTCGGGTTGAAACCTAGACTCCGTGGCGTTGCTTCCCCCGATCCAGTCGGCGACCACGTCCATCCCTTCGGGGTAACCGCCGGTGGCATTGCTGGCGTTGCTGCTCGTTAGAAAATCCATGTCGTCGAACTGAGAGTGCAACTTTTCAACTGCAGCTGGCGATGTGTAAGCGTAAAAAAAAGCAGAAGGCAGTCAGCTGCTTACACTGCTGCAGCTGCTGCCGTGGGTTTTATGGTGTCCATCGGAGTTCCTGCTGCCGCTCTCAGGACGCATGACGCTGTGTTTGTGGGTATGCATGAGAGTGTGCGTGTGTGTTTATATGTTTGTGTGTGTGTAGGGGTCAGCATGTGTGCGTGTGCGTGTGTGTGTGTGTGCGTGTGTGGACAGCCAGGTGTGCACTAGTGCTGCGAATAATCTGAGCTTGGTGAGTCCGTGAATTCATTTATACCAACTGCTCTACGTACGTCAGACCGGGAGGAGTTCACCCTGGAGTTTTCTGCTGCTGCGCTTCCCAAACGCTTCACTTTCTGCTACTGACAGGAGAAGGACACGCTGTCGTTCCCTTAGGTTTCATTTTATCCTTCATTATTATTATTATTATTATTATTATTATTATTATTATTATTATTATTATTATTATTATTATTATTAACAGGACTAGTACTTAAAAACTCTCTTACTTGTGATGAAACTGCAATCAACCTTACCGGGAGTATCTTATTTTTGCTATAACGTATTATTTAATTAAATTGAAGCAGATGTTTTTTTGTTTTTTTTTTTTTTTTTTGTCAAAATGCTTCCAAAGGGCAAGAAGTGCAAATTCAATGTGCGCAGACAGTGGAAATTGTAGTTCAAGACCAAGACCAGCTCCTCCTAAAGGCCAGACAGGAACGATGCTGCCATCTGCTGTTCACTTTTTATCTTGCACTGACTGTTTTCATTTTGGGGGAATGGTTGTGCTCCCGATGGAGAGGATAGGCTGCTTCTTTTTTTTTATTTATTTAGTCAGAATGTTTTTGCTGTTTCTGCGAACTGAATGTTTTTCATGTTCAGAGTCATTTTACTTCCAAAATAAGCATTAGATTTGTTTCTGCCGTCCTGCAGTGTCCAGTAATGTCTTCATGCAAATTAAGATAAAGTCATTAAAAAAAATTTTTCTGTATTTTATCGAGATTGTGTGTGACAGTTCAACACAAAGTAGTGAATAATTGTAAAGTGGGAGAAAGTGGAAACATGGAATTTGTTAGAAGCATAATAAGTCAAGATGAATTGTCCCAATTAGGAAAACTGACACTTCAGCCTGAACACATGATCGCCATTGGATGTAATAGTGGCAGCATCATGGTAAGAGGAAACTTGCTGACGTTGATGAGGTTGGATGGAGGCAAAAAGTGGTCAACCCTTGGAGAAAACAGATGCAGAATACTTAGGTCTGAGGAAGATGTTCACCATGAAGCAGGGCATGTATTCTAAAAATACAGCCAGAGCTAGAATAAATTGATTTGTCTCAAAGTTCATTCAAGCTTTACAACGTCTCAGTCACAGTCAAACTACTACTATGCAAAAAATAATGTCACAAAAGCTGATTTTGATAAGTATTGATTCAAAGTTTAGAATACATATACATGCCACACTTAACAGATTTTTATTTGTAAAAATTTTAAAAACAATTTTCCTTCCATTTCTCTATAATGAGCTACTTTTTGATGGACTATGACATACAATAGTAACACTTCTACTAATAATTATGATGTTATTTTAAAATTTGTCGGAACGTGACTAAAAAAAACCCCATAGGTGTGAATACTTTCGTAAGTCACTGCATCAAATAGTGAGTGGAAAGCTGATGCAGTGCTATTTACCATTAGACAAAATGTGCCTCTGGCTTTTCACTTCATTTTTGTCAGTCCTGTTGGGCCATAATGGTGAGTTTTCTATAGGTTGAACAGCATCATAGTGAGGCTGCGAACAGAGCAACTATTGTAATGGGGCTCAGCATGAGGACTTTGTCTTTGTCAACAGTGTGGAATGCCCCAGGGGGCTCTGTGGGGTAGGACAGGCCAGACCAGAGAGCTGCACCGCTCATCTGCCTCGAGCTGGAACAGTCTCTGTTTCTCTTAAATAAAATGCTTGAAAGAACATGTAGAAGAAATGGGAACCAGTAGGAAGAGGAAGTAATGAAGGAAAAAGCTGCTTCGTTGGTTGAATTTCCATCCTATATGATCTGCTAAACACGGAGGGGTTTTAAAGTTCATTATGAGCGCCCTCATGGGAGTGTCCATCACTGGTGGTGCTAGCAGAAACAGAGAAAATGAAGATGAAGATCCCAGTGAAGGAAACGCCAGCAATGAGGGTCACAATCAATGGATGAGGCCGACGACATCTTGGCTGAGTGATGCAGATCAAGCTGGACAACAGCTGGCAAAACCTGCCCTGTCTGGAAGAAAGGCACGCAGAAAGACCTGTCCTGAGGACAAACAAGGAAGAAGAGGGGACAGAAACCTAGAAAGGGACGAGGAGAGACGCTTCAGAGGTAAGGACAAAGGTCAAGAACTGTCTAGAAGGATGGAAACAGTATGTGCAGATGAAGTCCGAGATGAAGCAAGGAGAGGAACCTCTGAATGCTTTTCCAGCAGTAACTCTGAAATGCAGTTAAAAACCATTTTTGAAGCTGGAGAGCCATCAAATCATTCAGAAAGACAACATAAAAGTTCTAGATCGCAAGCTGTCAGCTTCCCCCAAACTACAACAACCAATTTAAAATCTCAGTCTGGACGGCCTGCTGTTCAAATGACTCATCCGTCATCACAAGACCCTTTATCTGGAGATTTATATCCATTCTGGGGAGAAGTGAGAACAGGGCGACCATCACAATACCTTTTGAATCAGACACAAATCTCAGAATCAGAGGATGAAGAAGAGGAAGATGAGAACAAGAAATCCATTGAAGAAGGCTGTGGCGTGATCGAAGTGCCGGGTCGACCCATGTACTCCACAGAGACACCACCTTGTATTGCTTCAGGAGAGAGGAGGATGAGTAAAAGAGAGAAGAACAAGATTGAAAGTCTGAGAAGGAGGCAGAGGAGGAGAGAGAAATGGAGACCAAGTCAGCAGCCGGAGAGCACACAGGTAAATCTCACTGTGGTTACAGAAATCACACCGCTTTTATTAAACGTTCTTACTGTGGGTTCTTACGTTTATGCTCTAAATGAATCAAAAAAATGTTTTATTCAATTCGAATCAATTTCTTTTCTAATGTTATCCATTTGATGCTAGATTCATCCAACATAATTAATTTAGTACTTATTCAACCTGAAAAGAGGAGGTTGCAGAGAAGTTTGCATCAGTTTTCATGGGGAAAATACACCCGGCAGTGAGGACCTGGGAATCTAGCCAATTCTATGACTTCAAGAAGAATTGTTGAATTACATATCATTGACAAAGCAAACTTTAACACATTATGCTGAAAATTTTATTAAGGTATTCCAGATTTCTCTACAGAACTGGTTGAATGTGTGTACATGCAGGATGAAAGGCTTTGACCAAAACAAAGCAACATCTGTGTGGGCATTTGTAGCACAAGATAGAAGTTTTAACTTCTGTGCTTCTCTCCTTTCCACCATATTTATCTGTAGGTGTTCACATGACACTGTGTGTCTGTGTAAGCTCAGTTCAGCCAGACTCCCAACACTTGACAGCTATGGCTGCTTCTAGCTCATTTCAATAGCCATTGTGTTTGCGTGGTTTAAAGTGGGGTTACGTCTGAATTAGCTGCATGATGAGGCTTGGGCAGAGAGCCCTTCAAGCCTGGCCAGACAAAAGAGCTGGTTCAGTTTTGATTGGTTGCTGCTGATCTGTAGTCACGCTGCCAGACTAAAATTACTCTAACTGCTGTTGCAGGAAGACTAATATGATTGGTGGAGTAGAGAAACTTCCAATATCAGTCACATAATTAATAGATCACAGATAATGATATTGTTTCAGATGGTTTCAAAACTGAACTATACAGTGTTTGTTGTAAAAAAAAAAAGTCAACTTTAGGTTTTAGTGCTGATAAGTGCAATGTTTTATTTCAAACATTCTGCCATGACTAAATGCTAAAAACTTGGAAATATCCACTACTTTATGTTGTGTCACATAAATCCCAGTAAAATACATGAAAGTTTGTTTTTCTACTTTCACCGGGACCTGAACTGTGGGTTTTGTTATAGAGGAAGCACATCACTATAACATCCCTTAATTAATAATTGTATCTGATTCCTAAGTTTTCTTTATTTATAAGTTTGTTTTATGAGTTGAGATAAATGTAATCAGATATTTGTTTTATTTGATTATGAACCAGCTGTAGCCAACAAAACACTACTGTGTTGTACATCCTGAGGGCAGAACCCCAGTGTTCATGAATACGTAAGAGGTGTGTATGCTCAGCGTCCTCTCCTCTCACAGTGTTAATGACACACCTTGAGAGGCAGAGTTGCGGCTATGTCCCTGGAGCTCCCCCTAGGTGAGAAAGCAGTAATTACTGTGGAAACATCCTTAGGCTTTCTTAACACTGAAGCTCAAGGGACATCTCCCATGGGTCTGCAACTGACACATCTTTGTGCAAGAGGTGAAGGCCGAGGTAAATCCCTTTACATGAGGTCTGGCTGGGATTTGGAAATGATAGACTCAGTGTGAACTCAGGGGCAAAGACAGAAAAACTGAGGTTTGAATAATTTTACTTGGGAAATATTTGGTGTGATGCAAGACACAGGAACAAATACAGATGATGCAAGACATATTAATGCAAAATTGCATTTACAGTGCCTTAATTTTTTTTTTTTTTAAATAAAACACTAAGCCCAAGGTGGTTGTAGATTGTAAATATTCACCCACAAGGTGAATTAATTCTATAACAAAGTCTTGCAGCAATTATAGCTGCAAGCATTATGGATTTTGCCACTATCAGCTTTGCAGATCTAGATATAGAAATGTTGTGACTATTCATCTTTGCAAAATAGATTAATCGCATTCAAAATGGATGGGGAGCTGTGGCTGCAAAATTTGGACAATGCAACTAAAAATGAATGTCAAAATAAAGATCATTACAATCATCTAACTTTTCAAGTGATTTCGACAGTACCAACCCGTCCAATACCACATCACTCAGAACCTTCATCACTCATTATGACACTTTATGTCATAATTAGAGAAAATGCATTTTAATTTTGTTGTAAGGAACTGCTCTATACAGCAGAGTTGAAATATTTAAACTTTGAATGGTTTTCAATAAAAAAAATAATAAATTCCTTGCCTGGTCGTGAAGATTAGAACACTCTCAAAGAGGTGTTTGAAGGATCAAAGCTGGCAATGTATGGGTTACTGCAGGCCATTCACATAAAAATATGTGAACATCTTCCTTTAAATATCAGGCAAAAATAGTTCAGTCAAAAAATTGCAGTAATTCATTATAAAATGTTGTAGAAATGCATATTTTCTATTAATATTGGTATTTCTTTTCCATGCATAAAAAAGCAGGACACAACATGAAAACTATGTGCACTATATGCTCAATTCTAAAATACTTACACACATTCACAATAGCAGCAAGTTTGCTTTCACATACAAAAAGATATTTACGTAAATATGATGGGATGCTGACTTAATTATCAAGCCACATATGTTTTTTTTTATACTGTCTCCTTTTATTCCAGAGTTCAACAGAGACCCCCACTACCACCAGCAGCTGCAGCAGCACTGAGGATGAAGAAACTCTGAGCATGAGAGACAAAGAAGGTTTCATCTGTGCCGTGTGCTTGGATGTGTACTTCAGTCCTTACATGTGTCACCCATGCAACCACATCTTCTGTGAGCCCTGTTTGAGGACACTTGCAAAGAACAACCCCTCCAATACCACATGCCCTCTCTGCAGAACCATCATAACTCATGTCTTCTTCCAAAAGGGTGAGTCAGGAGTCAAAGACATCTATGTTTAAAGCAATAAGATTTGTAACAATTATTTAATTTATCTGTGCATCAAAAGTAAGATGATCAAAATACAGCATTAAATATGTTGTGACTGAATTTTTAGTTGTTTGTTTGTTGTTAGTTATACAGATTAGATCTCTGGGCTACTGATTGTTCAGGGGGCCCAGCTGCACATGTCCTGCAGGGAGCAGGGTGGACCTTTTGTTCAGCTCACACCAGATGAGTCACAGAGGCCGAGAGGACAAAATCAAACACAATCCAAACACTTTCATTTGATCCACTCCAGATATAAGAAGTGGCGTTCCTGTTTGGTAGAAAAATAACCCCTGTGATAGAGTGAAAACAGATGTATCAGGATTTTTTTGTAATATGCTGTAATATTTTAATACATATTAATTTCAAGCTAGTCATGTTTATTATTTAATCTAATAGACAAACATAATAATACATAATTGTGAAGTAAATGGAAAATGATCAAAAACTGTTCACTGGTTTTAGAAAATAAAAATCTGAACAGTAAGACTTTATGTCCACTATTTTTGCTAATATACAGTCTGAAGTGTTTGCCAATTTTTCTACTCAGTTCATATTGATTTGTGAACTTCTGGGTACAGCAATGTTCAACTGCTATCACAGACTCTCAGCTTGATTTTAAGTCTGGACTTTGACTGGGCCGTCGTTAAACATGAACATGCTCTGATGAGAATGAGTCCCTTGCTGCTCAGGCTGAATGTTTAAGTTCATCAAACTGGAAGGTGAATCTTCACCCCACTATCAAGTCTTTATAGGGTTTCTTTATAGGTTGTCTTTATTCCTGAACATCATGATGATTCAATACTTTTGCATGTCACTACGTAGTGAAATTTATGGGTTATTTACTTATTAGGTGACTTCAGAGGGTAATTTAATTTTGTTTAAGGATATAAGACCGGTGTCTCCAACATTAAAATTCTCAATGTCTTTTAATGCAAGCCTTCTCAACCGCACCTAAATCAAATGAATGGCTTGTTACCAGGCCTTTGTCAAACTTAATGGCATGCTGAAGAAGAGATAATGCAATAATTTGAATCAGCTGTGTTGGAGAATGAATGAATGTAAAACCTGCAGGACATTAGATCTTGATGGCGACGACTCCTGTTATAAGGGTAAAAGGTTTTGAAAAGACATGCATACTGCATTTTTAGATTTTATGTGCTCTATTCTCTCTCTTGTGCTGATATGTCACATTAAGTTATAATACAATTTGCAAAGGTTAGGGGTATACATACTATTCCAAGGCACTGTGTGTATCCTACTCAAAGACCAATGAACTAGATGAAATTTCATGTGAACTAAATAAAGATTTCATCCTATATGATGTGACTCTGACAAAAATATGAATAAGTAATGAACTTCATGATTCAGCCTGGCCTACTTTTGGATACAAAGTATGAGCAGCATGGACAGCCTGGCTGCTCGGACTTCAGAAACAAGTTTTTTTGTAAATGATAAGATGAAAAGAACTTGAGATTGTGTTTATTGTTTAAGTCAAGATCACACTGAGGCGAGTGAGGCTAAGTCTGATTCTTTCCAACATGGTATACAAATCAGGCTACAAAGAAATGAAGCTGTTTGTAAGATGATCACTAATTACACCATTATTGTGGGCTTTTTTAGAGCTGAATCAAACAGCAAAGACATTCTTCCCCAAGGAATACCTTTCCAGAAAGCAAAACTTTCAGAGAGCACCTTGCTCAAAGTGGCCGCTCCCAAGCTGCAGGAAGCTCTTCCGCATCTTTCGAGGCAAGCTTTTTTTTTTTTTTCATTTGATGAACTAGCTTTTGTTAATAATTTGGAAAATGTGAATAACTTATGGGGTTTCACATACTGAATCAAATGTCAAAAACTTAACAGTTTATTATTAAAAAATACTAAAGTAGGTGTAGATTTTTACTGGATACAAAATTCTGTCATGTATTTCACGTTGGTTATGTTTTGCAATAAGCTTGCATGAATTTTGTTTCATAAATAAGGTTTCCAAAGGCAATCAACCCCAAGTGTGAGACGCCAGTTCCCCCATGGAGGAGGATTTCCACTCGACACTATTGACTTCGAGGATGACTCTAGAGGCTGGCGTTTCGACATGGACATGGTCATAATCTACATCTACTCAGTCAACTGGGTTATTGGATTTTTTATATTCTGCTTCCTTTGCTATTTATTCTTCCCTTCCTTTTGACAATTTTGCAAACTATGATGGAGCGACACAGAAATGCAACATGTTGAAGACTGAAGAGGAGAAAGTTATTATTTAAAGACGCATTAAATGTATTGTGGAAGAAGGAAGAGCTGGGAAATCAATTTTAGCGAGAAGCCAATGACTGAACTTCAAGTAGGTGCAAAAATCAGAACTTAAAAAGAGCAAATTGTGTAGACATTTTAAACTTAAATGTTCTGTTTCCGGACTTCATCTAACCCACACACAGGGGAGCAAAGCCAAGTTAGTCTATTAATAAATCATTCAGGCTGCAGTGTTTATTTTTGACCTGATTCAGTTATTGTTGAGACAAAATTGGTAGGTGAAGTTGTTCGAAACCAAACATTGATTTCAATTACGAAATACTTTAAAAATGCAACAAAAATATTTTGTCCATATGTAAGACTTAATAAAGGAAAGTTTTTTGTTAATTACCAAAGTTTTGTTTTTTGTTGTTTTATTTTCTTTTGGAGGCCTAAGGGATAGAAAGGACAGTGCTATAGCATGCAGCGTTGTCCATATTCATTGGGGTAAGACATCTATAATTATGTTTACCTTTTAATGTAGCAGCATATTTTCACCGTGCAAAATTAAGAAAAATCTAACCTGGAAATATATATTCAGTAAAAAAACAAAACATATTAACAAATTTTTGTTTTAACTAAATTAATGTTGCCTTATGTATTATCACTCCTTCAATTTAATAGAAAACAGAAATTCTGCTTTTACTTTTTCAAGTTGATCAAGAGTTCTTAAAGCATTTCATTAGTAATCAATAATCCAGAATCTGAATTAGATTAAAACAAATTATTAAAACTTATTATTACACTTATCCAACTAACAACCATAAGACAATTTCACCATGCCAACCAGTTGTTGGGACTGATGGACATACACATGTTGAGTTTGCTAAATGCAGCTGGAAATCTTATATGAATTATATATGCTGTGGTTAGACACAACCAAAATAAAAAAAGAAGAAAAGGTGTAAAAAGATGGAGACATCTAATGCCAATGCTTTGAAAAAGAGGATGAGAAGACATGGGGTTATAGACTACTTAAAATACAAAGACATTTAAAATAAAAATGAAATGAACTTTGTTCATAGGTTACTTTATTCGGATAGTTTTATGAACTACGTCCTAGTAAATATCAAACTTTTTCACTTGAAGTATAATCACTCTTCTTTCATGAATATCCCAGTTTCCTTCCCTAGAAAAGCTGTGGGTTGAGCTGAGGAATTGAGAGCTAAAGAGAGGACATATTAGGATGATCTAGAAAGGTTGCAAAGAGATGAATAGTTAGAGATTCCTCCCTTTGTTAGTTCCAGACCTTCAAAAGTAACATTTGTAAGGACTAAGAGCTGTTGTAAACTGGTTGTCACAGTACTTAAATACAAAAAATATATTTTAATGAGTTGGTATTTCATTTGGGAAATGTGTATTTATTCTATCAGTGTTGAGCTCTCACTGAAACCAGTTGAACATACACGGTACGTTGACAGCAGGTATGCACATGAGTAGGGTTAAGATTTTTTAGCTATTGATAAGTGAAGAATTGCATCAAATTTATCTTTTACGATGTAAAATTAGATATGTGAACTGGAAATCTCGACAGCTTTATTTTAAACATAGGTTTAACTTCCTCCTTGTATTTTGACTTGGAATGTAATCATTGCAGTAATGCCAGACCCGTCATCAAGTCTAAATTAAAACATACTGTATTTAAAGAAGATCTATCTACTATTTAAATGAATTAAGAAATTATGACCCATGATGAAAAGTTGCTTCATAATGACTTTATGATTAGAGTTCAAAGCTCTTCAGAGTCTTCCTCTTAAATAAAACACTTAAAAGGTAGTAGCTCGTATGAGCAATGTTTAAAATGAGCAGATGTCTGTTGGTCCATAAATAAATTATGTCTATGTATTTATAATTTATCATATTAAAATGGCAAGGCTGTTTGAGAATACAGCCTGACAGATCTTTTCGTATTTGCTACTAATGCAAATACATTTCTCTGTATGATTGCAGTTGCCTCATACTTGAGAAAACATTGTACTTGTTGGTCTAATATATGACGTGTTTGCTTGCTTATTTGGTGCCACAACTAAAACATTTCTACTTTTCTTTTGAAAGCCTTTCCTTAGAATTCACAACCATATAGCAACATATCTGCAGAAAAGCTACTACTATACACTGAAAGTGGTTCCTAATTGATTCAGGACGTCTATCTTCTACTTTTTGCGGTTTGGTTGTTTTTCCAAGAAGGACCAAATAACCACTGAAAACCTGCAACAAATTGAGATGCATTAACAGGAGACAAATGTTTGAGAGGACCATTTTTTTCTGTGAAAGAAGTAATTGACCCATATTGATCACTATTACATATATGGATTTCTATAAAGCACATATAATTGTTTTATTTTCTACATAGCCACTAGCCATGTTTGGTGCGATGCTCAGTGTGTGACTACTTTGATCATAAAATATGTGAAATCATTTTATTTTAATAGAGTTTGCTGTTTTAAGCCTGAACATCATAAAAACAAAAAAACTGGTTTATTATTTGGCACTGATTGTTTTAAATTAATGTTTTGAATGTCTGCTCTGTTTTTATTCAAAGGTTAACATTTTGAAGTTGAAAGATAGAAAAATGTCTTACAAATACAGATCTGAGTCCACAATAGAATATTTCCATACAAAACCTAGTGATTGATTACTACTGTTTGTAATAGTTAATTTCTAACAATTGCAATTCTAACAATCTTTCACATTCACTTAGTTGCTTGAATGGCTAATAGTAGTTAGTTGTTTAGCTTTTCAGTTATCCATGTATTGAAAATCCTACCTACTTAAACTAGAAGCAACTGGAGCTCTCTGGTTTCTTTCTCATACAAAGAATTCAGTTCTAAACATGGGTTGGAACTATGAGCCACATAATTTGTGGTCACAACAGTTACACTTTTCAAAAGCGTTAAGATTAAAGGAGTCCCTGTGTCATGCCCTCCATTTGATAACATTTTTGGGTCATTGTCACTAGAGGATCCAAATGTGTCACCTAATGCTGCCAATGTGTGAATTGGTCATATGCTTTAAGGTGTGAAAAGTGTTGAACTTAAAAAAAAAATGCATGTTTGTTTAAGTGAGAAGAGATCAGAAAAATACTAATACTAAAAAAATATTAATGTATCAGGATAAAGCAACCTGCGAGCAATTAGTATGTGCAGTGTTAAGAATTAAAAAGAGGAATAACTAGATTTAGCTCTTTAATTAATTCCTCTTTGTCCCAAATTCTTGTGTCTGTAAAAATGTGCAGGGAGAAAGAGCAATCATACGACGTCAGACTTCAGATATCTAGAGTTTTATCCAGAGGAAATCAATGCAAGAAGAATGTTACAATAAGCATCTCACCTAGATCATCAAAAGTCCAAGACATGACAAAACAGAAACAATTAACTGAGTAAAAAGGGAAACACAAACAAAAGATGCATCTTTTGGGAAACTCTCACTCAGCACAGAGATTCGGACTTCTGATGTAAAACAAACCATTCTATAAGAATGTGTATTCTCCTCATTTAAATATATGCATTAGGAGGTGTGTTTTTTCCTTTGTGTGGGCTGTCTTAAATGTTAATTTTATTACCTCTGAGACCCACTGAAACACCCTGCTTGTCTCATACCCGCCTCCTTTAGGCGATCTGATTTATGGCGTGGATCTGGAATGTTATCTCTGCCTCAAAATGATTCAACAAGATACCAGTTGGTGTTTTTTAAACAAACTCGCACAAAATGTATTGCTTAATACTAACTATAAGTTGGATCCAAAACTAACTAATTAAAAACATGCTTTTTAATGCTTAAAGAAATATACCAATATGTTTGATTATATGTCGTAACGGACTTCTATAGTTTTTAATGTTTGTCTGAACTATTCAACCCTGAGTAAAGAATTTATTGCCCTGATAGCCAATACACTCCCTGTCTGAAATGTTCCTTAGGGAGTATAAGACTGCTTTCTGATTAGAAATTTATGTAAGTTCAGAGAGTCACCAGTTGTCTTAGTTTGGATTTGTATCTAAGTTTATCTTAACATAAATGTTGACTTGTGTACATTGTGCTACTTTAAAATTCTATTTCAACAGCAGCAATCTACATCTGTTCCCAGCCCTACCTATTGAGGGCGTAACTCTATGTTAAATCATCTTTGATGATATTCTTAATGACAGAGTTGCACCTGTAGATCACAGCACAAAAAGTACATTTAGGCTCAGTTTAAAAGTTTAAAGTCATCCTGTTCAGTCTTCACAGAGCTCGCAGCATTTTTGATTGGACAACAATCTTCATTTTCAAGGTTTGCTAGAGTCTGTTTAACGGTCCCTATTAGTATTCCCGTCCCACGGGTGCGCAGTGTTGCCAACCACAGAGCCACGTCAGGCCTGTAGCAAGTGCTCATCTTCGTTCTGCCTCTCCAAGGTTAAAGATAGGCCCGCCCGACTGGCAGGAAGCACTCAAAGAAGAGGAAGAAAAAAAGAAAAAAACAAAGACACTCGGAGCCGGACTGGAACTCCGACGCCAGGGATCAGTTTCATATTTTCTCCTACACAGGAGCTCAAAGTGTAGGCTGCGACTTCTATTCTCAGCTCACGCAGACGGCGTTATTTGGTCCGCATAGAACAGAAGAAAACATTTATTTGTAATCGCCCGGTGCTTGATGGAAACGCGCAATCATAAAAAATGGTTGCATTTGGAGACCATCCGTGAATGCGACCTGACATCTGTGCGTCAGAAAGGACGCTTCTGCAAACTGGACTCCTAGCCGGGTGTGAAGAGTCCTCGTTGTGCACCTTCATAGCGGCGCGGGAGTGAAGGTGACTTGAGCCCCGACGCAGTCGAGGCAATGCGGAGAGGAGCCACAGGCGCTCGTCCTCTACTTTTCCTGCGCCCTTTGGCTCGTCTGGGATTTTTTTCCCCTCCCTCTCCTACAATAAATAAAGGTAGCGACAAAGAGCAATAAGAATAGATCGAGCTTCAGTTGTCGAAGGTGAACTGAGTAGCCTATAATAAGGTGAACGGTAAAGGGTGCAGGGTGGTGAGGTAGAAGGAGATCAGCGGTGGAGGAGTTTTTAATCATTAAAAATATTTGTGGCTGGAGTCGGACAGAATCGTTCCGTTTCGGGGCTGTTTTAATCGTGGATGTGTATGCATGAGTTCTGCATCGAATGGGCGCAAAAACCGCCCCAGATCCGCCGGGAACATCTTCCAGATCGGCAAGCCTCCGAACCGAGACCCGCAGCGGAGGGAGAGCACCGAGAGTACCCGCAAAGCCCAGCGCGCCGTGGCCGACTGCAGAATGGTAGGTCTGCGGCACGTCTGTGTCTGCAAGCCGCCTCTGACAAAAAAAAAATAAAAATAAAATAAAGAGTGCCACG